ACGTTGATAAAAGGCATCAATCGATTTTTTTTCATAATGGATCGGCGATGAAGATGTGAGTGAAGGTAGAAAAAAATAGGATTTGAAAGTTTTCTTCAAATGATTTGATTGTCTACGTTTAGGTTTTTAAAAAGGAAATGGGTTGGGTTTAAGTTAGGAATGAATAGCGATCGAGAAGTTTGATGAAGTATACAGTGTCGTAATATGTTGGTGAATTGTTGATTATATCGTTAATTGATCCGATAGATAAAAATGGTATTTTCTTCGATTGAAGAGATATTTGATTAGTAGTGGAAAATATGATTAAGAAATTGCTGGATTTTTCTTTTATTGAATCTTTTTTACGTAATAAACTTTTAGTTTGTTAATTTTAGGTTCTTTTTTTTTTTATATATTAAAAATTACGAATATCTTTTTGACATCTAATTCAATTGAAAATTAAAAACTAAAAGCATTCGAGTTATGAAATTTAGAAAACATCATCAACACAACCGTGACAGAAACCTTTAGAAGGTTGGTTCCATTTTATACCGGTTCTCGTCTCACCGTTTAATGTCGAAACATTTCCACGAGTCGAATTAAAAATTGAGACGCGTTTTTTACAGATCACATTTGCTTGCGAATTTCTTTCACTGAAAACTAAACTACTTTTTCTAAAATAAATAAATAAATAAATAAATAAATAAAAAGACAAAATCCGAATAAAATAAAAAAAATGAGCACATGTAGAGTTTATTTTAAAAATTAATTGAAGAAACATCATTAAAAATCACTCAAATGCGTAACCGTTTAAACAATAAATCTTCATAAAATGTTCATTACTAGTAGCTGTCGTCAGTATTATACACTGTACATGATAACGTGATACTGGTAAATGGCCAACGATAAAAATACCATAAAATAAGGAAATTCACAGCAAAACGAAAGTGATTATAACGCATCTGTTAGTCATGTAATAAATATTTTGATAGATTCTGTTTGTTTATACATGCTAATACGAGCTTTCGTCATTAATATAGTATGCATACTAATCGCTATCACGTATTTGATCAATTGCATTTTCCGGGATTAATTGAAAAAATAAAACAAGAAATGGAAATATTACTTTACAACAATGATTCCTCGTGATCTTCGTTAAAAAACCTTTTTCTTTTTACAGGGATTCGACACCGTGGAACGACTCAACGAATCTGGAGAACTAAGAGAGATGCTTAAGCCCTACCAGGTAATTAGAAATTAGGACAACAGTCCATTCCTTAACAGTCCATTTGACACCTGATTCAAACTGATTCAAATCATCAATTTTCCTCGATTACGATTAATCAAATTAATTCAAAATCAACGAACCAATCCTATCCAAAATCCTTGGACTTAAAAATTCGTATCAATCGAATGAAAATAAAAATCACTCTCCATCCTCAAAATATCTATTCCAAATACCATCATCAGCGATCAAACATCAATTCCTTTCACGGATACATTCTATTTTTCCAAGATTGTTTCCCTAAAATTTCCCTAAATAAAAACCCTCGCGTAATAAATATTCCTCGCGAACGTAACTCAAAAGAAAGAATCCACTTTCCTCCTCGTACATTCGCTGCCGGACACCGAGGATTTACCGCAATCTGAACGTGTAATCCTCGCGAAGAATTACGGACGATCCTGTCGATATCCCCCCAGACCGTCCAGAAGAATTTACTCGACCCTTCAGGAATCCCGCGCCCGGTTCCGAGAATTCGCCACGTAACTCCCCGTGTCTTTGGGATATTTATGCCTGTTAGAAGAATGGAACAGTTGTGTTCGTGTCCTATACACGCGATACAGCGGCCATAAAGGAGCTCGTGGTGATCGGTGTTGGCGGACGCGCGAGCGCGTAATCCGTCGCGGACACAAGGTTGTTAACGATCCTTTCACTTTTATCCGCCGATATCTGCCTTCCACCTTCCTTTTCCATCACGATCATAAATTTCGATGTCGTGCGATTGAGGTTTACCTTGCAGCGAGGAAAGGTCGTTTACACCTTTGTCCGTGTTTCCAACCACTGTCACTCTCCTCATATTCTTTCTATTCCCCCTCCTCCCCCTGCCCTTAAATGCCTCCTTTTTCCTCGTTCGCGTCGATCCACGCGAGGACGTTCGTCCCTTCGTTAATCCTTCGAATGTTAATTAATAATGTTAATTGATGATTAAATTATGAGAAACTTTGCGTACTTGATCGTTGGATTCGATAATTTTGAAGGTAATTTTGAAATGAGGCGAATGTTTCAATTTTATAAAGAGTGCGGTGTGTAATAGAAGATTGTAGTTTCTATGATTTTGTGATTTGAGTGAATGATATCATTAGGTATACAAAATTATATTTTTTTCTTTAAAATTGTTTAAAAATGTCTTTTGGAATCTAGTTTCGATGAAGTATTCGTTTCATTCGAAATATCGTAAATCTGAAATTCGAATCTTTCGAATGTCAATTAGAAAATTCGAGAAAATACGAATTTGATCATTCAAAATTCTTTGAGACGAGAATAATGAGTTATATTCGAGATTGTGATTCGAGAAATTGCGATGTGTAATAGAAGATTGTGGAGATTTCACGATGGAAATGAGTTTTGTTCAATTTCGTTTTGTTAAATCTATAACTTTACGATTTGAGTAGATGTATCGCTTATTCGTTACGAAATTTCTGGTTTCCAATTATTTACTGGAGAAATTATCTTCAACCGTTACTCTGAAATTTTTATTTCTTTATAAGCAATTGTTTTGTATTAATTACAGCCTATAAGAATCACGATTATAAAACGAAAATTACATGAAACGTATCGTTCATTTCTTTCAGTTTAATCAATCCATTCCAACCAGTTGCGTAACGATACTCATCTTTCCAACTTCTTGATGCAAGATAATCACAAAATAAGCATTTGTAACTCAACAGAGTGAGCTTGATGTCCTTTTCACAAAATTTTCTCCCTATTAATAATTTCAAACATCTTAAATTTTTGAGCAACGTTACGTCACAATGAACATAATAAGCTTCGAGAAGACGCTAGAAACGTAGAAAATTATCTAAATCCTGTCCTTGGAAAAACGAAGAAAGTTTCACGAGAAAAAAAAAAATCGTAAAATTATTTTATCTCTCCCGAACGAAAGTTAATTATCGACTTGTTTCACGTGCAGAAAGGCTTGTAATTAAATGACATACCCACGCCGTCGTGACGTACCCTTTTTCACCTTGTCTTTTTACGCAATACTTGCATAATGTATCATCGATATTCTGATCTTCCTTAGACACGATAAGCATGCACACAACGCGTAAAGATTTAATACGTAAAGAAGATTTTATTTCGTTAACAAATTGAATATCAATCTTGTCATCAACTATGGATGAAATTACGACGTAATCATTACGTCGATATTCCACCCAGATTTTCAATCTGTTGTCCGTTTTCATTTTGGATTGGATTCGAAAAATATGGACTGTTTCTAGCAACAATGGAGATTCGATATTGGTTTCATTTTCTTTTGACTCATCTCTTTCTTGATTCTTTAAAGAAAATCTTGAACTATACTACTACTCTTCTGAGTATTCAAAAAAAAGATAATTATGACCAATTAATTATTCGAAATTCTTAATCTCGGATAAGTAATAATCATATGATTGAATAATATATCCGATAGTAATTTGTTAAAATTTTAATTCCTAGCAGAAAAAGCCTGGCTTCGATCATTAAACAAGTAAGGAAAAAAAAAAATTACAGGAAAAAAGGTAGAAGTCGCGAAATATTTCGAAATTGTGTTTCAATTTAAGGAAGTCGAACAAATAATTTCGTTTCCTACATTACTCCTCTTCTTCTTCTTTTTTTTTTTTTTGTTTGAAGAATGCAATCGAAAATGAGTAAAAGTGAAAGCGTTGTTGAGCAACATCCCGTGCACTGGAAACTAATGCAGGAATAAGGATCGTCACGCTTATTTTATAATCGTTAAACGATTGAGTCCGGCAATCATTCGTCCATTAAGTCGTGGGCATTAAGTAGATGTAGATATTATGTGAATGGAATTAGTTCGAATAATCGTGGGACTGGGAATCACGAATGATATTTCTGGATATCGAGTCTCTGATTATTTTATCGTCACTTTCTCATTGCGATCGCGTTGATACGAAGTTGAAATTAAAGCGAAGATGATTTTTCAACGAACCTGTTGTTCAATTTCCCTCCTGTATTTTTCCATAATTCTTTCGAAGGTTAATCAAAATGGATATATTCTTGAACTTATTTATATATTTATTCTCATTTATAAGGTATGCACGTATTTAGAACCCATTCAGAAAACGTACATACTTCGATTCAAATTTCAGGCGATTATTTCGTGAGGTATGATCTTATTGTTTATGAAAGATAATTTTCAACTATCGTAATATAGTTCAAAATACTCTCCTTCCATAATTATTTTACCTATTGTTAGCCCACTATTGTTTTATCACCGGAAGTATTTATAGTACTCGATTACAGTTTCTCAATAGTGCCATTGACTTTAAAATCGTGTCTACAAATTGTTATTACGAATACATAAGCATGCATAACTTTTCTTGTAATTTTATATAATTTGTAGAATATGGAAATTTTACTAATAAAAAAAAAATGTAACTTCAAACCACGTTAAAAATTAAAGTAGAACGGCACGATGCAAAAATTACGCGTAAATCTAAAGCATCACAAATATCTCATTCGTCGCAAAAAAAAAAAAAAAAAAAGAAACAATTCGAAAACAAAACAAAATATCATCAAAAAACGAAAATCCTCGATTCCAAATCCTGATATTCCTTTAACAAATTTATATTCGCTCAAATTTAAAATCGCTCATTGATCTTTTTTTTTTTCCAGAGCGAGGACGCCTGCACAGTCTGCCTGTTCTGCGGAGGTTACCAGTGGCAGCTGTGTCCTGTTTGCAACGGAAGCAAGAGATCCGTTCACCGCAACGACTTCACCGCGGAATTCGTCGCCTTGAAATGCGCGAAATGCGACGTGAACGGTCTCATCCGATGTCCCCATTGCTGAGCAAAAAAAAAAAAATAAAAAAATAAAAAAAAAAAGAAA